GGTATGCTGAAGAATCGAGTCTGATTTTAGAAAGTTGACACTGTAGAGCTAAGGCAATCTTTAGTCCCTTCAGTGGCCATTCACTGTCCACCTGCATCTTTTTAACTACAGGTAAAGCTTTGGGGGTGTATTAACTTAGCAGGACACTAGCTTCCACCACTCCCAAAGGCTAAGACCACTCTATCAAACAAACAACACTTGAGACCTACAGATTTCCCCGTCTTAAGTTCTCAACAACATACCTGAAAACTTCCTTGACAATTGACCCCCCGTTGTTGTTTTTTTTTGTTTTGTTTGTTTGTTTGGTTGGTTGGTTTAGACAGTGACCATACAGTCCAGGCTGGCTAAGAATCTATGGTGATCCTCCTTGCCTCTGCCTCAGAGTGCTGGGATTTCAGTGTGTGCTACCAGAGTCAGAAGATTTATGACTGTCTTTTGTTCTGATAATGAAAGTTTACGTAACTCTTTCCATGTTAAGACATGTTATTCAGCCTAGTGGTGGTGGTACACCCCTTTAATCCCAGCACTTGGGAGGCAGATACAGACAAATCACTGAGTTCAAGGCCAGCCTGGTTCAGAATGGCTAGGGCTACAAAGAGAAAACCTGTCTCAAAAAACAAACAAACAACAAAAAAAAGACAAGTTGTTCAGGGCAACCAGAATGTGTTCCTAGGCCATTGTCACTCATACTTGGCTCAGAGTAAACAATCTCTTATTTCCGCTGGCAACTGTGTTTTGTGTGGAGGACTTTAGGAAGAGCATCAATGTGGCCAGATGTTGTTATCCCATGGGAGAGGCTGAGGCAGGAAAACTGAGGGCTCCAAGCTATTTTGGGCTACATAATCTTAAGAACAAAAAAGAAAAGAATACAATAACACAAAGTTTGTGTTGATACTTTTACATGGAATTAAAAATATATGTTTGTTCCTCCTTACTGCACCCAATGAGTAAGTCCTCTCCAGGTTTTCTATCTTCTCATACTATCTTCGTTACGGTCACTATTACTGGGATGAACCACCACGACCAAAAGCAGAGTGGGGAGAAAAGGGCTTATTTGGCTTACACAGAATGGATCACAGTCCACTGGGGGAAGTCAGGGCAGGAACTCAAACAAGGTGGGAAGATGGAGACAGGAGCTGATGCAGAGGTCATGGAGTAGTGCTGCTTACTGACTTGCTTCCCAAGGCTTGCTCAGTCTGCTTTCTTATAGAACCCAGGACCACCAGCCCAGAGACGACCCAACCCATAATGGTCTGAGCCCTCCTCTATCAATAACTAATTAAGAAAATGCTCTACAGGCTTGCCTACAGCCTGATCTTATGGACACACTTTCCCAAATAAGATTCCCTCCTCTCCGATGACTCTAGCTTGCATCAAGTTGACATAAAACTAGCCAGGGCATACCTTACCTCTTAAGTCCCCAGAGTAGAGTCAAATTAGTATGGAAGTTGCTGGACTTCACTCACCACATCTGTCCCTGCATCACTGCAGAGCATCCAGTCCAGAGGGAAACGCTGTGGCGTTTTGTAGCTACATCATTCCCAGTCAAGACTTTCCACACCTGTCAGCAGGCCCCAGACACTCTTGCTACCTTGGAAAATTTCCTCCTTGCTCTCTTTACTCAAGGAACTGAGTAAAACTGCACCTTTCAAATACCTGTGACTTTGCCCACGTTCCCTTCCTTCACCCAAGTGGAGCCTCGGTGATCATAGAAGCCTTTCCTTTCTCTTGTTACTGCAACACTTTGAACACACGGCAAGTGAATCACCCTGTCTTCTTTCTGCATATCTCTCCTACTGGGCCACAGGATCCTTGAGGGTAAGGGACAACCACACATTGACTCCCTCACAGGTGAGCTTTTCCCCAAATGCTACTGCCAGCTAGTCGTTGTGGCATATGTCCATACTCCCAGTGTTGAGGAACAGAGGCAGGAGGATCTCCAGTTGGAAGTCAGCCAGAGCTACACAATAAGACTTTGTCTTTAAGAAGTAAGTAAATGAAAGTTTTAAAAGTTGACTACCCAGGAAACCTCATCACCAAGAGGTCAAAGAATATGAGCCACTCCTTCCAGCTATCAAGGTTTAAATACCCTAAATCCCTACCTCCCTTACCATCCCACCCAAGTCCAGTGCAACGTAAAACAGTATTCCTTTCACTATTGGTTCTCCTCTGGCCTTCAAATTATCAGTCAAGAATTTCAGACAAACTCTTTCCCTGCCAAAACCCTCACTAACTCCCTCCTGAATATCCAAGGTCTTGAGCTGAGCAAATGTGTTGCCCAGCATCGCTCACAAAGGACCTTGATATGCTGTCATGACGTGCCACCTCATATGCTGTTTTCTGGCTTTTCAAAGTCCACCTAAAGTGCTGCCTCCTCCAACAGGGACTAGGTTTGTCGCTGCCTGTCTTGAGCCTCCAGGGCATTATCACTCCAAAGAGTGGCTCCCACTTGCCTCCCTGACTGCTGGAGGCCTAATTCACAGGCCATTCTCACAGTTATATTGTAACAAACCCAATCTGGAGCAGGCAGCCTACCTGGCCTCCCATTTTCTTTCCTGACCCCAGGGATTGAAGCAACAAATCACTCTACCACTGAGCTATGCCCCTTGACCCCTTATTTTATAGAGGTAACAGGAGCTTTTTAAAACTCCTCTTGGGCTGGGGGTGTAGCTCCATGGAAAAGGGCTTATCTAGATTGTGCATACAAGGCCCTGAGTCTGAGCCCCAGCAGTATCAAAAATAAACACTTCTGTCTGTGAGACTGGGGTTCTCTGAGGAGCTCAGGCTGGCCGCAAACCACCACCCTCACACCTCAGCCTCCAGAGTTCAGGGACTACAGTGTGTTTCACCACAGCAGCCTGGCTGAACATTTCTTTGCTGAGTTTCCCCCTCAATGCCATTTCTCTGTGTAACAAGTTAATGGTCCCTCCCCCACAAAAGTTACAAAGTAAAACAAACTGCCCTTGAATGTGCCAGTCAACTCTTCCCATGAATCTCAAGGGAGCGGAAGAAGGGTTCTCGTAAGAGGTTAGGTTACGGTATGAGTAACACCTGTTGAAAAGATAACAGGGCAGGTGACATTACCATTACCGAAATACCATGTGCCACACCTTTCCTGCTGGCTGTGCTACACTGTGTGGCACCAGCAGACACACTAGAGAACTGGGGTTGGATGGGTTTGGCAGGATAGGCAAGGTGGAAGGGAAGCACCTCTAGGGTGGCCTCAAAAAGAGCAGAAACAGGATTAGTCCAACACACAGCAAAGAGAGACTAGCCTGTTGTGGAAGTCTAGGAGAGCGCCGCTACCACATACGGCAGAAAACAAGATGACACAGGATTAGTAAGTGCCCTGAGGTGGCACATGCCTGTAATCTCAGAGCTCAGAGGCAAGGCTAGGACTGCTAACTCAAGTCCAGCCAGTCACCAGAGCAAGACTGTCCTACAAACGGTGTTCTTAAAGACAGGAAGCCTTACCAGGTTCCAGCATGCAAGAAGGACTTTCTGAAGAACAACAGTCTAATATAAAGTGAACTAGGAGGCAGGGAGCATTGCCACCAAAGCAATGGAGCTAGAAGGGACACCGGGAACAAAAGTCTTAGCTGAAATAAAGGCCAGGGGAAGGAGAAGAATGGGTGCATGGTGGAATATTTAGAACTGACAGGCTAAAGAGTGGGTGCTGAGGGCGAAGGAGAGAAACAGCAATTTGTTCGGAATCAGATGGCCCATTCAAGGAACTACATGGGAAAACCAATTTGACCCAACATCAATGACTCCAGCCCACACTGTGCCTTATAGACTACTCGCGTTACACACACGCATCTTTTTTTAAAAAATTAAATCTAACTACATCAGGAGCTACAATCACTCAAAGGTGATGTGAAATTTATGATATCGGATGTAAAAAGGGCGTCACCAGAGCCAAGTTGTTTGACAAGCGTCATCCACATGGGTTCTAAAAAACAAATACCTTACCCCTAAATTATGGAACCTACGGATGGGAAAGTCTGGAGGAGTAACATGGGCACCTGAAGGCGTTCAGGAAATAAAGCTCAAGATACCAGGCTTTGGAAAGCTGGTGACTTCACACCGGGGGGTGCAGTGAGGGGTTTTCTCCTAAGTTCCCAGATCTGACCCTCCAAATACCACAGGAGAGGAAGCACCACCTTATCCCTCAACTTCCTACTCCTCCCCTGCAGCTTAGGATGCTATACACTACAGCTTAGGTCATCTGGCCTTCTCCCACACAGGTCTTGTAGGACTCTCTTGCATAGAAACCTAACTAAAATGTCCTTTCCCCAGGCAACCTGTCGACTACCTGGCTATCTCATTGGCTCAAAGAGATTTTGTAGGCATCTAAGGCTTCCCGAGCACATTCTGCAACTGTTTTCTGACGAGAGGGAGGGGCTGATGGCGGTGTTGAGCTGGTATAAGGTCTGAAACACTGCTTAGACACAAGGTGAGTCACCGCTCAGTTTCAGTTTCTCCAGCTGTTCGTTTAATACAAGGAAAGAGTCCTAGCACACCGTCCGCGCTGGAGTTTTAAACACTGCGTTATTCCTTTCAGATGTGTTACAAGCATCATAAAATCGTAGACCATCAACAATACAGGAATAATGCTATTCTGAACGCAGCTACTTTAACATCCTACCGAAGGGTCTGGTCGTGACTTACGGTTATGCTTCCCCGTCCTAATTTCCAAAAGGGCCTAAGGTCTCCAAAGGGTTCAGAAACCATGCCGTGGCGGCCTAGACGGTGCAAAGCCACCAGGAGCGTCGAGCCTTGCGCATATCCAAGGGACTGGAGGAGCAGTGCGACCGCGCAGCGCGCGTGCCCCGGGCCCGATGGCCGGGCGTTCGGCGCACCTCGCCCACTCTCCTCTTCGCGAGGGACTAGGAAGAGAGAGGCTTTCGCAGCGCCCCTCACAAACGGGGACACTGAGGCTCCCGGGATAAAAGCCCTAAGCCCCGCGCGCGCGACCCGGAGAGCCAGGCCGGACTCACCTTGGCGCTGTGCACCGCCTCCTGCGCGCCGCGGAGCTGCAGCCAGATACGCGCGGGCAGCGGCTCCTCCGCCCCGAGGGCGCCGAGCACCGCCAGACCCACGCCGAACCAGGAATAGCATTATTCCTGTAT